TTTTTTTTTTCCCCCCCTACAGGGGGCCGGGGTCCCGGGTGCCGACCCCCGGAACCCCGGAACCCCGGCGGGGTCCCGGGGCCGGGGTTCGACAACCCTGTCTGTGAGTGACCTTGATCTTGGCGATTATTTCGACTGGGACACTCACAGGGGTTGAGTTTGTGGACAGTGACAGGATCGCTGGACACCAGCGAGCGGAGACGTCGGAGGGCGACATTGAGGAGGATCACACATCTTCTTGCACGGTATCTTCTTGAGGGTGATTGACTCCTACATGTCATACGACCCTAGGTCTGAGACAGTTATTGGTCCCCCAAGAGGGGAGGGTCCGGTCCCATACCTTGGAGATGGCTATAGTCATTTGGTCGGGACGGACTTTGCTATGCAGGCTTATTGAAAGCCTCTTTACGAAGATCGCTTTCTCGAGGTTTCCTACATCTACTCTGGTGGGAGAGGGCGTATTGAGATATTGATTGGAGCTTCAGACGATATCATTCTTGAGGAGGAGCTTTATCTCAGGAGCGTCGCAGACGAGGAGATGGCTAGATGCATGGCCTATATCTGCAAGATTGATCCAGTAGCGCCTCTCGACATCAGTTATGTGGTTTAAGAGTTTATAGCCACGCGGGTTCTCAATGACGAGGCGCCAGATATGGAGTCCCAGATGACAGCACTTAGTCACGAGGGGGTACCGCTTATTATTATTGATTGAGGTTCTCTCTTTTCAGTCAGTATGATGTATTACAACATTATTATTTATTAGTGACGCAACCCTCCAATGGTTGCTCTCTGCATACTCTGTGTACTACTCTTCAGTCTTGTATCTCTGGTCATGCTCTTCCAGAGTCTGGTTTCTGGTCTTCTCATTCTGTCTGTCAATTGCTTTATGATGTATGTATGATATTTTCCTCCTTATGATACACAGGCTACACTCAAGGCAGCTTGAAGGACTCCTGGATGATAGGGACTCCGGTGACCTTGAGTCTAACCTTTATACGGGGTCAGGTGCAGGCGATAAACACGAACGCCTCACTCTAAGCCGTGTCGCCGCTGGCAGGAGGGATAACCCTAAGTACTCGGCTGTATGACAAAGTGTGACTGCCTCTGAATACACCCCTATTTTTTTTATACCTATCAAAATCCTGCGTGACAGCCTGCCAGTCCTCCAACCCACTGATCTCGGTCCGGGGAGGGATATCTAACCGGACCCTTGAAGCAGTGGGGGCGCGACAGCGGTGCATTCCAAAAACAAACAGAGTGGTGTGGGCAGTGTTTTTGTTAGCATTTTTGTACATTGTTTCTGGTCGTTTAAATAGTAAGTAGCAAAGTGTATTTTGTTGTCTCGTCTCAATGTTGCACATCCTCTTCTGTGTGAGAGACAGAAAAAGAGGGAGTGCTGAGTGCCGTTTTCGGTATAAATGGTTTTTGTGTGATGAGAATTGAGAGAGAAAAATTTCCCAGAATTAAATAATCATTCTAGAATAAAATTACATTCTAAATTTTAAATTTTCATTCCATCTTAAAAATTATCAATTCCAATTTTAAAATTTTTTGTCTTTCTTGAAAACTTTCCTTCCAAGAATGGGGTATCCCTTCTTATTTGAATTACATGCTAGAGATGGAATGAAAGTCTGAATGAGTTAATGAAATATTTTAATTGGACTGTCATTCTAAGTAAGTATTTTCATTCATAAATAGGTTAATCCAATCTAAATTAGACGATATTTGTTGTAGTAGAATGAAAGTCTAATTAAAACATTTCATAAACTCGTCCTGACTTTTGTTCTATTTTGAACAAATAGATGTAGCTGGAAGGGAAAACTCATATTTAGACGGAAACTTATCAAATTAAATTGGAAATTTTAGAATTGGACAAACATTGGAATAATAATTTATAAATATAAAGGAATTTTTTTTATGGAATGTTTTTTCAACTTTCATTTCTCACGGGAATTTTTCTGTTGGTCAACCGTGTGACACTATAATTTATATGTCATGACATCAATGGTCGTGTAGTCAAAGGCAACGTTTGACAAATAGGTACAGGATACATGACAAATCATTCATCATCACGTTTCCGCGGCTGCTACGTGGCCAGGTAGCGATCCACGACGTTTATGTATGTGTCATGTGTCTTCCATATGCATAGAAAAATGATTGCAACTGCAGCACCCTAGCCGACCTCCGCAAGCACTTCCAATATTTTTCACTCCCCAATAAATTAGTATTAAAATGACAAACAATGCAAAAAATGCACAATATACACACATTGGTGATCATATGGGGTAAAATGTGTCTCATTTACTACGAAAGGCAATAAAGTATGACATATATCATAAAAATCTAAAAATGATTCAAATCTTGTTAAATCCAGTGTCTACACGCAGTAGTGAACCGCATGTACTTGGAGACGCAAAAAGCAACGAACATGACACACAACACGCAGACGGATATATAGGTTGTAATATATTTAGAACTCAACATACATCAGAGAGAGAGAGAGAGAGAGAGAGAAAGAGAGAGAGAGAGAGAGAGAGGTTCACTACTGCGGGCCAGAACGACAACAAACAACACCAGTGGACTCGGATACACCACGCAGTAGTGAACCCGACCGTAGTTGAAATTGAAGACTGACATACATGATACACAGACATAGACGGATGTACAGTTTGAGTTTCCCATGCTCATCAAAACGTATGTGCAATGATTATTTATGGTGCTACTCTACTACTCTATGCTTTGCATGTCTGTCCTCATCCCTGCAATCCTTGAGGGTCTGTCGTGGTGTGTGGGTGTGTCTGTGTGTCATGCTGTGGCCGAGCACTAACTATTGCATCTCCTGTTGACAAGCCAGGATGCAATGTCTCTCCACACGCAATCGTTAGTGCGCCGTGGATGAGGCCACCCGCCCCCTTCAAATCATAATACACATCACGTTCCTCTCCTTCCTCGTCGCTGCCGACATCACTGACACTCACTTCCACGTCAGAAGATGATGCCCCGTCATCCTCTTCTTCATCTTCTTCATTTGCATTTCCTGTGTACTCTGCAATACAACTTGGTAACTCGGGCTCTTGGAATCCACGATCACGCTGTTGTTCAGCCATTGTCAAACCATTCAGCAGATCTTCTTCCTCCATCTCCTCTGTTGTTGTTGTCTGCACGGGAGGTACACCGACTGACATACTGTTCATTGTTTCCTGTGCCGCTGATGTCTGTCTGTTGTGTGGAACGATTGCAAGATTTGTTTCCATGACCATCAACTTCCACCCTTCTTCTCTTTTTCTTTGTCTCTCAACATCGGAACCGGCATGGCCGAGCTGCTCCAAAGCAGCATATAATATACTCTCCCACAACGGTGTGCCACATATCATATTGTCTTCCTTTCTTGCCGACATATATTCAATTAGCTCTTCACCCTGCAGTGCCAACTCTGTGACTTCATGCAAAGCCTCATGGATGACGTTCCTGTCGTCGGGACTCTTTTTCATTAAGTCCATAAGTTGATCCAGCAGAACATATTCGACACCATCTGCGACTATGACAGGAACATCTTGAAAGTCGACTGAAGGTGTTTGTGTTATGTCCTTCATCCTGGACAACACCAAAATTTCCGCTGCACCAGTCTTCAACTCGTCCTTCAACCTATCAACAACCATCTCCGAATTCTTAGCGGAAGTGTCCCGCACCTTCTTGAAATCCCCAGGTGTATATCTCCCCCCTTTCTGCACCATTGTCATGTCCACGTCCCCTTCTTCGCACATTCCTTCGCTGCACATCCACTGAACTACTCCTTTCAGACTATATGCACTGTCTTCCACGTCACTGTCCACACGTACATGTGGTGACTCTCTGAAGCGTTGCAACAATGTTTGTGCTTTGACACACCCCTCGCCGTTTGTCATCATTGTTGATCTCATATCCACACTGACAATGAAGCACCTCGGCACCCTGTCCTCAAGCAAAGACTACTCGTTGTCATTATCGTAGTGAACGCCCTCCTTTGCATACTTCATTACCTCTGCAAGAGCAGCCTGCACCTGCGCTACTGACATAGACATGATGCGTATGGTTCCTCTTTCCTCCTCTTCTCTCTGCCAGCGGAAACGCACAATGACGTCAACGACTCTCTCTCAGTGATTCTCTGTCAGTGTGTGTATAACTGTGTACGTGTGAGTGTCTGTGCATGTGCCTGCGTGTCTGTTCCTAAGTTGGCTACTGCGTGCCATTTGAAGTCGCAACGAAACTGTGTGGTCTGTGTCTGGCACGCAGTAGCCAACCCGAAGGAGGCTGTGTGGTTGTGCATGTGTACTCGCCCTGTATATGTGTATCTGTGCATATGTGTCTGTGCATGTGTATCTATGTATGTGTATCTGTGTATGTGTACTCGCCATGTTGGTCTGTCTGTGTGTGTGTATGTGTATCTGTGAGGCTGTGTGTCTGTGCATGTGTATCTGTGTATGTGTCTGTGCATGTGTACTCACCTTGTTGGTCTGTGTGTGTGTGTGTGTATGTGTATCTGTGAGGCTGTGTGTCTGTGAGGCTGTGTGTCTGTGTGTGTGTGTGTTATAAGCTCCCCCACAACAACCCCTATTCGAACCACACGAGTAGAACGGGATTGAGTTTGTCAGGACTGTGAGGTAGGGGGAAGCAGAGTGCAAGAGTAGGAAAGAAATATCCGAAGGGCAAAAAGTATGACTTGCCAAGGGCAGGAGGAGGAGGGAGAAGGCGACTAGGGAGGAGAGTGGCGTGGTACCTACCTGGTTATGGTGGAGACCAACTTCATCACCTTGTTAAGCGCTGCATCTTGAAGGCCCCCATTGGAAGCTCGGCGCAGCGTCAGGCATGGCGGATCAGTCAGCAGCGACTTAGCTGCTTTGTGTTGTCCGTTGGACAGGAAGGGGGACAGCCACATAGCTGCTTTGTGTTGTCCGGTGTACATTAGGGCAACGACGTACTGGCCCGCCATAGCCTACGCATGCGAGAGGAGGAAGAAGGATGGTGGCCATGGCTATGGTGGACCTCAAGTTCTGCCTCTAGTACATGTGGGATTCATGACTTTGATTCTGGTTCAGCCATTGAACAGACCAGACGGATAGACAGAAAAACCAGACAGACAGACCAGACAGACCAGATAGACAGACAGACAGACAGACAGACAGACAGACCAGACCAGACCAGACCAGACCAGACAGACAAGACCAGATCATATAGACAGGCAGACCAGAGCAGACAGACAGACCAGACAGACAGAAAGACAGACATACAGATTGACAGACGGACAAACAGATAGACAGACATACAGACAGACAGACAGACAGACAGACAAAAGAAGAAGAAGAAGAAGAAGAAGAAGAAAGAGAGACAGACCAGACAGACAGACCACACAGACAGACAGACCAGACAAACAGACAGACCAGACAGACAGACAGACAGACAGACAGACAGACAGACAGACAGACAGACAGACAGACAGACCAGACAGACCAGACAGATAGACCAGACCAGACAGACAGACAGACCAGACAGACCAGACAGACCAAACAGACCAGACAGACAGACAAACAAAGAGACAGATAGACAGGGCGAAACAGAGACAGACAGACCAGACAGACAGACCAGATAGACAGACCAGACAGACAGACAGCCCAGCAGGGCGAAACACAGACAGACAGACCAGACAGAACGGCAGGGCGAAACACAGATAGACAGACAAGACAGAACGGCAGGGCGAAACATAGACACACGGACCAGACAGATAGACAGACAGACAGACATACCAGACAGACAGACAGACAGACCAGACAGACAGACCAGACAGACCAGACAGATCGACAGACCAGACAGACAAACAAACAGACAGACAGACCGAGAGACAAATAGACCAGACAGACAGACCAGACCAGACAGACATACGAGACCAGACAGATGTGACGCGCAACCTCACGTCCCGTGTTGTCTTTCGTTCGGAGTGTTAATTGTGCGGAAAGAGGCCCAGAAAAACAACAAGATGGGGTGTGCTAAGGATTTTTGGAAATTAAGTATGGGGACACAGACGGAACTGAAATCCCCCGTGTTGGTCCGATGAAGCAAATCGATTGTTTTCGCGCATCGCGGAATGAGCACGCGGATAAGGTGCGAAGAGAGCAAAATCCAAATTCCGTCTAGGAAGTATTGTCGGGCTTCCCACCGTGCTATGGCCCGTCGTTTAGAGCGGAAGGGTTTCGGCACGCTTCGTGTGTCTCGTTTTCGGATCAAGTCCCGTCGTCGCTCGTTGGTCAGTTCTGAGTTTGATGAGGAGGGTCGCAGACGCGTGGCTCTCTCCTTGTGCTCGTCCTCGGTCCGTATTCGATAGTGGAAGCCCTTCGCTTTGTAGCGATCGAAACGCTGATACTCTGTGCACAAGGTTCGAGGCCAGTGGGGCGCTACTGTCGTCCACGGGAGAATGATTAGTTCGTTAAAGGGGAGCAATAGTGAGTAGTGTGGGAATTGTGTGTGGATAATAACAAACCCAGCCTCTACGAACCCTGAACAACGGTTTGCCGGGGGGAAGTAGTATCGCCCGCCGATCTGTGCGACAACTTCTCGTACGTCCCACTTGCATACACGTGTCTTTTCCTCGTTGTAGGGAAAAGGTCGTGTGGGTACGGGAGGTACGGGAGGCTGACGCCCGATCGGAGGGTACTTGTCAGTCCACATATCAATCATGAAGATGAAATATTCCTCAATCAATCCTTTTCTACCAAAGAAGGGAAAAAACACTTGTCAGTTTAATTATGCATACAACTGACGGGGACCGATCACGGCTCAAGTTTAGTTAGCCAGCGCGATGTGATCCCTGGCGCCTTGTTTCTCGAGGTCGCCTCGTGGGTCAGCTACTGATGCCGGACAGCATAAGGCAGATGGCATGCGCAGTGCACTCAGAGCTACAAATCTAAACACTATTGCATTCTCGGACAAAATCCCGACGACAATCGTCTAATCAAAAAGAGTCACACGTCTCCACGCATGCATCCACTGTGGAAGGTGCGAAAATGAGACATGCACAGGAAAGGATAGATCGCATTGCACAGTACACACGCATCCACCGTTCACAAGACAAGAAGACAGGGTCCTTGCATAGGAGGATTACCCAGGAAACTAATGGAAGAGTTCCGGAAGAAGTTCTTGCACACAGAAACAGGATGCAAACTCATTCTCATTCAGGAGAGGGACAATCATTCGGACGCATCACCATTCGACAAGTAGAAAAGAAAGAAAGAGAGAGAAAGAGAGAGAGAGAGAGAGAGTTCAGGGAAGAAAATCAAAATAGAAGATGACAAGGTCCGAAAAGAGAAAAGTTCGACGTTGCTGCCGTACACTCACGCCAAAGATAACAGTCCGCAACAAAGGCGCATTCGCCGTTAATTCCAATATAGCCCCGGGCCAATCAACTCAACTCCGATCATCGATCCTCATACCCGCACCGACGATCCCGGCCGTCCCGTGCTAACTTCCACCATTGCGATCGTCACCCCGCTGTCGTAAACTCGACACGGTTCACCCAGATCCCACAGTCCGTCGTGGCGATCCAGCGCGCAACCGGTCAGCCTATCGTCAGCCCGACACGACTTTCCGACTCGCWTCAAACACTCTGCCTAGCCACTGCTTCCCGGAAGCTGCCTCGAGAGTCGAGAACGTAAGAGAGATTTGCGGACGCGCTTGCAGGTTTTATAGTTGCGACAGGGGAGATAGAAGGGGGAGAAGGTGACGGGAAGGCTGAGGTGTAAGAGGAGAAGCAGGAGGAGAAGACTTTGAGAGGAGTGCTCTACGAACGCCATGGTGATCCCTCGAAACTCAAGGTCCAACCAATCAGATTCGCCGCGCAATAGGAAGGTCCTATTGATCTGCGCACCTGATCGGCGAGCGGGAGTTATCGATGGATCGACCGGGCGTCGTGTGCCAGACTCAGAGGGGGAGAAGAGAAAAGGCGCGAGAAGTAGCGCAAGACGGGTCCAAGATTCAGATGATCAAGAAAAGGAAATGGGCGCGCAAAAAGCAAGGCGGGAGAGAAAGAGAGAGAGAGGAAAAACAGTTACGAGGAGAGATAAAAAGGAGGGAGAAGGGAAGGGAGGCGCGGGAGGGAGCGAGGCGGGGGACAGAGAGGAGAAAGCTCGGCATACGCGGTGCCGTCAACAAAAAGAGAGAAAAAGGCACCAAAACAGTTACAGATTGCTTCTATCATAGTTCAAAATTGAAATCACCATATCCGCGCGCGAAAAAGCGACGCGGGAAAGGCAAATTCTACACCTATTCGTATTCGCGCAAAATTCCGAGAGTTTTCCCCGACGCAACCAAGAACGTTCACACATACGAAAAGAACACGTCGAAGTTCCGCTTATCCCGGAATTCCCAACCGCCGAGCCCAATTCCCCGTGCGCTCGCTAAGGCGCACGTAAATTCCCATGTATTTCCCGACTTGCAAAAAAAAGGAAAACAGAACCCGAAAATCGAAAAAGCTTCCAGAAAAAGGAAATGCAGCATTCGAAAACAAGAAACCGAAAAGGGGTTCTTAATGGGTTTGATATGGTACATAAATAGGGGTACGAAAGATAGCATGGGTTCGGGAAGTGGTTTGTCACATATATGACGAGCAGGGGGTTCCAAAATTATGCGATCTCCTGATTGCGTGTCATGGCAGAAAAGGAAAGAGAAAGAGGGAGAACAGAGTGATGCATGAGAAACCAAACACATCAACAAGGCTTACAGAAAAAACACAAGGGGTGGTAACTAAGCCGCGGATGAGATGGCGACAACATTCGTGGCAAGACCTCCGCGACCGTGTCATATGCAACCTCCTGCCCTGTAGAGATCGTCCAGGTGACGCCATCACGGTCCGCCTGATCTCCGTGTGCTCTGCACCCCAGCTCGTTGCTGCCCGTCGAATCAGAGCGTAGGTTGACGTCATCGTCGATGGCGGGATCTTCGCGAAGCTTGCTGATTCGTGCCGATGAGAAG